CAGGAAACGTTTGCAGGTGACTACTCAAGATCTCAAAGACTGTTTCTCGATACTGATTGTGAGCATAATCAGGCTACGGGACAGGAAGAATCTGAGAACTGAGGATGGAACTAAAAAATATACTTGTAATTTAACAACCGAAAGATCTTGTTAATGCAATTTATTTCTTCTGGTAACTTGGAGTATTAGTGGCAGGTGGAGAAAAGCTAGAACATAGTAACTGGGTTACAAAACAACTCCATAACCATTGAAACTATGAAGAAGGCAGGTATTCATTGTAAAACATGCTGGACAGGTATTTTTGATAGAAGTAGGGGAAGCAAAGATTGTGACTGTTGATCTGTGGTGGAGCCTTGTGTATTGTTTGTGGTTCTTGTTCATCCAAGTTGCAGAAAGAATAGTCTGTGTGAAGCAACTGCGAAAAGTGCTAGTTGGATGAGGTGGAGAGTGAAAAGCCAGTTTCTTGAGAAGAAATTAAAAACTTGTCTTATTTGTGTAGTAAAACCTCTAGATTTACTGTTTTTGTATAAGCAAAAGGAGAAAGAGAGAAATTAACATAAAGGGCAACAAATAAATTGACCGTTAATTAACTGAAAAAGTTACAAAGTGGAAGATCTGGAACAGACTCGGTGGGAGGAGGAAGGGGGAACACTAGAAGACATCTTACTGGGCTCAGTGATCCTCGCGTTTATTAACATGATTATATGACGTGTCAGAGTGTGGGCCTCTGAGAGTCCCTCAGCTTTTTTTTTTCCTTTCCTAAGTCTGAACACAGTAGAGCTGTTCTGTTATACGCTTTCTGTTTTTACCTAATTTAAAAGAATTAGGTAAAATGTAATTGGAGATAATTGCAATTCAGTGTACAATTACAGCGTCAGTGTAATTGCAAACAATTACATCTTACTGCTTTTAAGAACTTGAACGATAAAGGGAAAATCTTGAACTTCGCTGAATAGTGCTGTCAAGGCACCTCTCGTATTTCAGTTTGTACAACTAATTCTAAATTTAAAACCCCTAAAATTTAAAACTAAATTGCAGCTTGAAAACTTTCAGACAAGCTGAATGTTCTTTTAATGCTGTTTTTTGTGTATAGAAATTCTAAGACTTGCAGCTGTCTCTGAAATCTTTAATATTCCTCTGGCCTAAGGGAAGAATTAAATATACTAAGAAAAAAGTTACAGCTTTTTTATTTTCTTTCAGTGTATGCTGGAGAAGGTTGGAAATTGGAATTTTGATATTTTTCTTTTCGATAGACTGACAAATGGTGAGTTTACTTTTGCTATTTCAGATGCGTTGTATTTCTTTTAGCGTAGCGTAATTTACCTGTAGCTCTTGAGTTGTATATGTGATTGGTTTTTCAGTAAAAAGTATAAATTTCATCAAGTGGTACTTTCTGATTTAAAAGTCTATCTAGTTTGCCTGTCTACTCTGTCAAAATTCCATTGCTATCAGTACTGATAATAGTCATTAACTTGTAGAAAAGGCCTATCCTATACTTTGTGGGTTGTTGTTCTCTCTCTTTTTCTTTTTTTTTAAAGTAGTAATTTGATACAAGTTAACAAATGCATTTGCTACTTTAATCTCTTTTAATTACGGAATGCTGTTAATGTATCTGACTGTGTCCAAAGAATCACTTAGACTGAACAATATTTTCTGAGAAATGTAGTGTTGGGTAGAAGAGTTGTACTACAGCACAATACAATGAAAAGGCAAAATAATATAAAAGCATTATAATTATGAAAATTAATAGAACGTCTAGAGATTTAGGAGCTGGGCAGACAGATAGAAGCTGTGTAGCTTGCACAAAATATAAGAAGGAAGAAAAGGTTATAGTTAGACTAGGAACAGAAAACAGAACTGGAAAGTAGAAAGGCCGCTGTAGGGAATAGGGTGAATTTTTGTATTATAATATGTCGCAAAGGAAGCTGAATTTTGAACTGAACGGAAGAGAGAGACAAGCGTGTCAGATGCCAAGGAGGCATTTGGGAGAGTCGGCACGGAAAGCTCTTGGAGCCTGGGCTGCAAATGGAAAGCAGCTGTTAAGGTTTTTGATCAATCGAATTGAGCTGGTAGCAGAGATGCAGTTAGAGCATTTAAAGTTGGGAGAAAGAAACAGAACTGATAACATAGCCCCAGAGGATAGCTCTTTCCTAATTTGTTGAAGGGATGCTTGGCTTAATCAAATCTAAAACTGGTGTCCTCACCGTTTGATTTGATACAGAGAATGGTTATATAAAATGAGGGCAATAAGGATTTTTACAAAGAGAATATTTAGGTGAGTAATTTATAAACTTCAAACTAGTTAAAACTGAATGAAGAAAGCTATAGGGGCAAGCTAACATGTGTAAAAGTGGCTTATTTCAGACTGATGTATCAGCTGGGAGTAATCTGAAATCTCTCTTTTTGTACAAGGCTTTCTCTACCTGTTAAGTATTTTTTTCAAGTAAGTTTTTGTTACTGTCAGTGCAACTTCTCTTTTGGAAGCCTTTCTATACCATCGTCTTTGCATCCTAACTTAGTCATTTTAGGAGGCGGTATTAAACAGATAGTTTTGTTCTTCAAAATTTTTAAGGGGAGAATGCCGCACGTAAAACTGCATTATGAGCTGCCTTGTATAAGCCTGTAAGAAAGAAGCCACTAACTAAATGTTTGAAGAGTTGTTTATCTTAGCGCAAGAAAGCGGCATGCACATTCAAATACTTGAAGCCTGACAATAAGCTAAATGTGGCAGAAGTTTTTGTCTTTGTGTACCTCAGTTTCTGGCTATGGCAGGTGCTTTAAATCCTGTTAAATGAAGACTGTCAGAGTAAATGTACCAAAGCTGAGTAATCTGTCACTACATGTTGTTTGCAGTATATTTCATTTGCAAGCTCTTTGTTTCTACCTCTTGCAATGTCATAACAAGTGAAAATGTGATTGTAGTGTTAGAGCTACCACTAGGCAAAATATAATATAATCTTGTAATAGTACTTATTTCCTAGAAAAATGTAATTTTTTCTTCAATTTCCAGGTGAAATAAGGAATAGTGGAGCAAAATGCATGATGAAATTATGACAGAGTATATGTACAATATACACTAATTGACAGTATTTATTAGCTTTTTTCTTTGCCTGATTATGTTTGTATTTTTTTTAAGCTGAACATCTGTTTATAAAAATTATGATGTGATATACCAAAAAGTTGAATATTGTTTGCAACAGGTTTGCATGTTGAAACCTATGGCATTTTTAGTGTTGAATAACGTTTTCCTCTTATTAGTCAGTGCACAATGCTGATGATTACTAGAGGAGACAGTTAATGGGATCATGGTATACGATAAAATTTAAATACTTATCATAAATTGGTGCAGAGAAGTTGGCTTGTATATTTTTTTTGTGGCAGATTTGTTTGAAATACATTTCTTATGAAGAGTCACTGATTTCATGACTTCCAATGAATTAGTATTTTCCTCTTATTTTTAGGAAACAGTCTAGTCAGCTTAACCTTCCATCTGTTTAATCTTCATGGACTAATTGAACACTTCCAGTTAGATACGATGAAACTTCGTAGATTTTTGGGTAAATACAGCTTTTTATTATGGTGAATATTGCTGTTTATCTGCATTTTAAGTTATTAACTTAAGTCCTGGTTATAGTTTGCCAATAACATTTGAAAAGTACTAATCCGGTCCAGTTTGTGCAGTGATTTAAAGTGTATTGATTAGGACAGAATCTCTCAGGAGTTTCTATGAGCACAGAAATCTTCATATTAAATCCAAAAAAGTATTAAGAAGTTTAGTAGTTTCTTAGCAGATACTGTATTATTTTTATATAAATCTAAATAATCAAGAATATATGTGAATTCCTTCATTTGACTTTTCTTTGTTTTGATTTTCCAATTCTGTTTTAATCTTCATTTTAGAAAGGTTAAAAATACAGTTTCCTAACTATGTGAATTATCCTATCTTGGTCATATTTAACAGTGCCAATATGATGCTGTATCTTGTTTGTTCAAACTCTTGTACAAATGATTATACTATAGGCATACTTTCTTCGTAGATGGAAAGAGAGACAGTTTTACTAGAATGTTTGGGCCTGTAGCAGTGAAATGCTTTTATGGAAAGAAACGTAAATATGATGTAGAAAATTCATACCCAATGGTACTGCCACTTGACAACTGAAAGAGCTATCTGTCTGCATCCAGGTATCATAGACACAGACACCAACGGGACACTTCCTTCATTCTGTTCTCCTGCGACTGTCCCTCTTATTTCATTCTGTGGAGTGGGATGCTCGTTCTTAACTGAGCCAGGAGAAACAAGTTTTTTGTCCCTAGTAGCAGGCTTCCACAGCTGCAGAGAAAAAATATTTTTGTGGTTATAAAGCCTGTTGCCTAACAGAGGAGAAATGATGTTCAGAAGGTTTTTCTCCTCTTTCAAATGAGAGTCTTTTATGTTTTCTCTGTTGAGTTCTCTTTCTGCTTTAAAAATTTTATTGGTTTCTCTGTCACGTGCTTGATGCTATTTTAAAGTAGACTCAATTATTTCCAACTTCAAAAAGGCAAATCAGCTGACTCGAAGGCTGATGTATTGGAAGGTGACCAAAAGTGATTATAGAAGTCTGGTCTTAGGCTGCTCAGGTTGTAACTGAGTGTGTTTTGCCTTGTCTTCTTGCTCATCTCCTGGTTAAGTGAGATTCAGCAAAAGAGAGGACTTGATTATTAGGAATAACGGGATTAGTTTGCTAGTTATCAAAAGTTAACAATACTCTAAGTATGGCTACTTAAAGCTTTAAGCCACTAAAATAAGATTAGACTTCGATGAAAGAAAGCAAAACTTTATTCTAGAATTGGAATTGGCCACCCTTCCCTTTTTGTTAGAGCCTTCTACTTAATAGCAGTACAAAAACATTTCTTAACTCTGTCCCCGCACATCTGTCCAATTATGGAACCTCTCTGCCAAATGCTGCTTCTTAGCATGAGCTTAAATCATTTGTTTCTTTCGGTACTTTTTATACCCTGGTCCAAAGTAATCTGAAGACCAAATGCAGAAGGCTAGCACAGCTCAAACAGTCCATTTTCGCCACGTGAAGTTCACTTCTAATTTGGGAACTTATTGGAATTTTTTTTTTTTTTTTAGTAAGAAAGGAAATCTAGTTTTCATCCTCAGTAGAAGCTGAACATTTAATTTTTCTATTTCATTTTCTATGAATTTTTATATACATAAAAATTTACATATATGCATATATGTATGTATGTATAGATACACATATTTAAGTGTGTGTGTGTATACATCTACGTATGTATGTTGTGTCTTTGTGATTTTGGTTACTTGGAAATCTCCTGTCTCCTCCTTCTGTATATTTTCAAGTTCTTTTTCCATATTCAAACAGGAGAGAGAAAACATGTAAGGTACCAAATTAGTGGAAACGTAGGGTTTCAGTCGTTAGTATTTTGACCTTTAACAAATCCTGAATCTTTACAAATATCATGACAGTAATGCTATAACATTCGAGTCACAAGAATCAGTGACATGGAGGATGCTGGGTTGTAAACTGAATTGAAAAAAAGGTGGGCATGTTTGTTTGAGTGGGACTGGTGGCCTGTAATCAGTCAGGAAAATGTTCTTTTGAGATTTGCTTGGAAAAGCTAATGTGTTATATCAGGCAAGACTATCCAATGTAGAATATACTTTGATTGCTGTGCTTCAGATCTTCTTCCCCTCCTTCCTTTTAAGTATTACAGTTCTTTTACCCTGTGCACTCTAGTTAATGTGGATGCCCTTTAAGGCATTCAACCTATAATACGGAAAGACAGCCAGGAGGATGGGGGGGATAGAGGAAGAAAGGAGGAAGTATTTAAATAGAGAAGATGAATCTAGGAGTGGTTAGACAGACCACCATCTAAAAGAGGTTCTTTTTTAAATTGCATATAGGCTTAAGTTTGCTTGAGTACAAGTATCAGAAGATGCCCAAACTGTGTAGAGGTGGCCTCCCCTGACCACTCTCCTGAAGGGGAAAGAAAAGCACTTCATATGACAGTAAAGCAGTGCCTACTTCCTCTGGCCCTGTCTGTTTTCAAGGCAGCCAGCATGATATGAAGTCATCCTGATGTTCTGGTAAATAGTATCATCTTCATTTTGTATTCCAGGTTGCCTCAACATGCAGGCAGGCTAGATTATCAAAGGGAATCTCTCCTGGGAAGTTCTCAAAGTCAGAGTATCTCAAATTATATATTGATTTCCAGCTGTATAATTTTTGCTCTGAGATGGTTTTACATGTAGTTGCTTTCTTTTAGAAAATACTGTTTCTTCACATAAAAACCTTTTATACCAAGGTGTCAATTCAACTGATTTTTTTATTGCCTTTGACACTTCCATGTGTGCATAACTTGTGATATTACATAATGTTTCTGTGCCTAAGAAGGATGTATAAAATGGCACTTGAAAAAAAATGCTATTTTATTTAAATTCAGTTATTTGTTATTTTCCTGCAGTAATGGTTCAAGAAGATTATCACAGTCAAAACCCTTATCATAATGCAGTTCATGCTGCTGATGTGACTCAGGCCATGCACTGTTATTTAAAAGAGCCTAAGGTAAGGGAGCATTGTCAGTTCTACGTTGCAGGTAAATATAGAAATATATGTATTTTTATGTGTATACATATGTGGTTTGTGTGTACACATATATACACACACACACAGACACACGCTTTTTACAAAAAAAGAAAAAAAACCCCAACTTGTAGAATACTAAAATGGAAGGAAAGATTGCCATGTTACTGAGGCTGTGGTTGCACACTTGGCAGGAGGCTTTTCTCTTTCCTCTCCTTTGAGCTGATACTGTCTGTTGTGTTACTTCATGGTGAACTAGACAGGGCATTGATTAAGACTGCAGCTACTTAACATACCACTGTGCCCAAAGACGTTTACGTGGAATTGCAGCCTGAGTCAGAGCTGGCAATAAAAAAATCTGTGTATTCATGGTTTTAGTTTTTTAGGGATTTTTTTCCCTGGAAACTACTGTTACTCTTGCTTTGTTACTCTTTGGTGTTAATAGATAGTATGCTTGCGCCAAAGGCGCATTGTAGCAAGACATCAAGAATTCTCTCGCTCGATGACTCTCTCTCACTCATTTGCTTTTTCTCCTAAAAAAAGGCAGTGTGACAGACCTCAAGGAGCTGAGCTAACTGAGCATTTGTTCATGTTACTTGGACTGCTGGTGGTCTGTTATAAGTGGCATACTAGACATCTTCAGGGCCAAATCCTGTCGTTTTGTATTAAATTAACGAGAACTGTAATGCTCTGTAGCCAGGTGAGACGAGTTATTTACCTTCATGCCGATTATCACCATTCGCTTGGATAACCTAGTTCTTTACTCTTCCTCAGAGGTAGAATAACTAAGCTCTGATTCCGTGGATGTTTTTCAGCGGGTCTTGACCCACTCCCCCCACTCAGTTTCTCAGTGTTGCCCTCAGATCAATTGCTTGTGCAATGAGCCAGATCACAGAATTGATACATTATGAGCTTTTTTTAATAGCATACAGTTTGGTAGCTCAGAACATTTTTGATTAATATTCATGAAGAAAGTTTTGTAATACTTCAGATATAAGTATAGACTCCATATTTTTAGTAGCACATAGAGCTCAAATGGTCCTGTTACATGAAGTGCAGTATATAAGCATGTGAGAGATGATAGACAGCAAACGCAACAGGGAGCATAGGCTGCTGTGCTTGCAGGCTGTCTGCTGCATTTCACCAAAAACAGGTACATTGTGCAAGCAGGGCTGTCCTCTTTCAGTTTAAGCAGTGAGGTCTAGCTTGTGCTGAGTTGTAACTCATACTTCCCAAACAGAAGGTAGTAACAGGACGAATGGCTAAGAATAGTGAAAATGAGTCCATGCAGTTACATACTTAGTTAGTCAACATCCACATTTCTTGAAAATATGACTTGCTGGTTTAAGCAGATTTTTCCTTCTTCAGTTCCCTTCCCAGTAGGCTTAGAAATAAGACTGTGAATAAGAGTACAAAGCCGTTCTGAACAGTTCTTGAGGTTTATAGAACATTGGTTTCTTCCTTTTAAAATGAAAGGTTTTTGTGTTTTTTAAACTACATTCTCTGTATTTAAAGTAGACTCTTCACATATAGACAGACTTAGTAAATGAGATGGACAGCTAGTTTTAAGAATTCGCTGTTTTGCAGGATGTTCTTAAAAAGAGCACTTCATTACCAGCCAGAAACTAGCATCTTCTGTGACTGAATCCTCTCATTCATAAAGAATAATGCTTAAGCCTTTGTTGAAATGTTTGTAACTTTGCGGGAAACACGAAGGAGAGTCAGTGGAATATTAATCTGACATCATTAAACTTTTCTCTGAGTTCCTGTTGGCTTTTAATTAGTGCAAAAGAAAAACAAAACCAAGACACCTGGTCACTTGATTTCTAGAGGCACACTTGCTAACAGAATTACTTTTATTATTATTATCTTCCAGCTTTCCAAATCTTTAACTCCATGGGATGTTCTGCTCAGTTTAATTGCAGCTGCCACACATGATTTGGATCACCCAGGCGTTAACCAACCTTTCCTAATTAAAACAAACCATTACTTAGCAACTTTATATAAGGTAAGGAGGAAGTTGGTTGTTTTGTTAAAACCAGATTTGAGCCTGAGGACTGTAGGAAAGGAATATAAATTGTAATATCCTTATCTAGTTGTAGGTTTGAAACCAGAGATTATTTCCATGTTACTGGGATAAAATCTGTGCAAGCTAATAAAGTGTTCAGGATTTTTGAGTTTTAACACATCTTTTTTTGAAAAACTGCTCTTAGTTCAGCTCTTAGTTTATAGCTATTCAGTGGTTTTAAAAAAAATAAAGCCATTAATTGATACCTATGTTATTATTTTCATTTGCAGAATACCTCAGTATTAGAGAACCATCACTGGAGATCAGCAGTAGGGTTGTTGAGAGAATCTGGCTTATTTGCACATATGTCATTAGAAAACAGGTATGTTTATACAGAATTATGTAGATTAATTGAAGACCCAAGTTAGCTGACAGCTTTGCAAAACAAATAATTGCATGGCAATTCATAATCTACATTCTGTATTCAGATCTATTTTAAGAATTCCCGGATACCACATTGCTAGAGCAGCTCATGGTGCAATATGATATTCGGAAAATAGCATTTACTGTGAGCACACTGAAGCGTATTCATATAGTCAACCACCTGTTTACATTGAATTTAGCAGCCTTTTCTAATTCTGTCACCCCCAACTGTAGTTTAAAACATAGTCTCTTCACCTTCTTTAACTATAAATAAACAGTAAACAATGAGTTTATATTAAAAAGAAAAAGAAAAGAAAAAAAGCCTCTTTTAGTCTCCTTGAAGGCTGCCTATGAAATGTATCAGTGTTTCAGTAAATTTTGTAGGACTATTTCAAAGAAAATTCAGAAAGAATCTTCTGAGAATGCTGATCAGAGAGCCACTGTGACTTGCATTGGTATAATACTGAATGTGATATAAAGACATGTAAATCTAGTGCTGGTTATTTTTCTTAATCGTCATGCTTTTGGAATGTTTGGTATCACTAATTTCAGGCAGCTGATGGAAAGTCAGATAGGTGATCTCATTCTTGCCACAGACATCAGTCAGCAAAATGAATATCTGTCCATGTTTCGATCTCATTTGGATAGAGGAGACCTATGTTTAGAGGATGCAAACCATCGTCACTTCATTTTACAGGTGACTTTTTTGCTAATACTTTTGAAAACCTCATTTTAGCTTCAAAAATAATTTACTTAGAATGTTAAATACTTCTCAGCTTTCAAGTGAAGCAGAAATGTTTTCAGTTGTTTTGTTTCGTTACAAGAAGGTTTGTTCCCTCTGCTTTTGTCCCTCTTTCCCCTTCAGCACTTGGGACAAGCAATGTCTTGTGTTGGTAAGTCTGATCACTTAGAGCTACTGAACTAAAGAGGGATTTCTTTCTAAGACAACAGTTAGTTGTTCTTATGCCTCCAGTGTAGTCTCGGAATTGTGAAAAGCTTCGGCAGAACATAGTTCAGGAGAAAAAGTATTACTATTGTATAGTAGTATACTCAGAGTTTGTTGTTGTGCTAGAGAGGTTTAGTAGCTTTCAGAAACAAAGGCCTTGAGATAGTCTCCTAAAGTTCACAGAAGTGTTTATTGTTAGGTTCATTATGTTGACTGTAAAATAAAATGAACAAACGAGTCAGAAGTTCTGTCCTGTACAAACCATTACTAGAAAAGAAGACTGACCGAAGAATACAAAATACTGTTTACTCGCTTTTGCTTATTTGACTTTTTCTTTTCTGAGTTTATTAATAATTGTCTTCCTCATTATTGAATTAGTGAATAAAATTAGTGAATCACTGACTTAAAGAATACAGTGCCCCTGAAATTTTTTAACTGAATTTACATATTACTCAGAGTTGATCATGAGATCTGATCGTTCCCTGAGCTGTTTTTTAAAATATTTTAAAATAGAACATAATTTTAGAGGAAAGCACAAATGGTAGGTAGGCTTGTTATTCACAAAACTTTCAGTAATCTGCTGTCAGGAAATAAATAAATAAAGATGTTCCTTTTGGATGAAAGGAGCAAGTCAGGTGACCTAACACCATATGTTAAACTTACTAGATGGCTTTGAAGTGTGCTGATATTTGTAATCCATGTCGGACTTGGGAGCTGAGTAAGCAGTGGAGTGAAAAAGTAACAGAGGAATTCTTCCATCAAGGCAAGTAAGAGTAGAAGTACTCTGATCTGTTAATAGATATGTGTATATATATTGTGAAACGAGCAATCATGAGTCGTAACTGCTTGCAATTAAAGGGATTTATGTTTAGGACTATATTTAGGAGATTTACAAGACAGCATGTGGTATATTTTCTTTCATTGGTTTTATTTCTTGCAAAAGGTTTGTAGTACGAACACCTGATGAGGAATCTGCTTAGAATCTGAATGTAGAACAGCTGGTTCAATAGATCCTTCAGCCTGAAAGGTGCTTCAGATGAACAATTGTCTTAACTTTACATTTACCTAGTGAGTTTCAGTAAATTATGGAACACGCTACTTGCAAAGTCCTTCATGCTCTTGCTCCTTCATCTGTATTCAAGCAAAATGCAATGTAAGAGCTTAGATTAATTTGTAACATTTTTATGTTGAAGTGATTTTTTTTTTAAGATCCCTCTGCAACAGAATTTAGTCAGAGGAGAACTTATTTTGTGGAATTGTAACTTAATGGTGACTTAGGAAAGTACAGGATGCTCAGGTGGTCAATTGGAAAGTGATTTGAAAAACATTACTTTGTGCATAGATATGATAAGTGGAGAACACAGACTCTTTGGTGCCAATCATGTAAAGTTTACTATTCCTTATCAATGATGTGCAGGCAGAGCAACAAATACATACCTTCAATGAGAAATTTTTGAAGGCTATGCTATTCCCTTCCATATTGCTAAAGGGGAAATCTTAGATTGCTGTAGAAATGAGTTTTTGTAAGGAAGTGTGTTAATCCCTCTGGAAGCCTGTGATTGATGTCGTTTACATCAATTACCGTTTGTCTGATGAAAAACTCGCAGTACTACTATTAGTCTCACTGGCGGATCGGTTTGTTTTCTTGGGAGATGAGAGGAAAATAAATCATTGTCTGCCACAAGATGCCATCCATGTTACATCACTTGCTATGCAAACTGTGTCTAAAGATACCAATGTTAGATAACTCACCTCTATTAGTGTTTGATAATTCCACTTGAACTTATGAAGACCTTGGACGTGGTGACCTAACAGTTCTATTATACTTCTGTTTCTTTAGGAGACATTGAAAAAAAGTATCACTTGGGTGTGAGTCCACTGTGTGATCGGCAGACAGAAACTATTGCCAACATCCAGATTGGTAACTGTAGTTAAATTTATTTTAGTAATTTATTTCAGGATGCAATTTGAAAATTTGGCAAAAGTATTTGACATATGTTTCCTAGAAGTTGTACCTGGTTTGTATGTGTTTGGTAGCACTTCTTTACAAAGAACAATTTGTCTTTCTTTGCTGTAACTTTTTTCCCTTTGACTTTAGTGCTTACGAAAGGTGCTGCACTGAGGGTTGTGGGGGCTGAAGTCTCTCACAGAGCAGGTACAGCATGGGAATCGGAGATCTAACTTTTCCCATGCTACTGCTCAGGACTTTCCTAATCTGGACTGGCCGTGCTGGGAAGAAGGGCCCTGTTCGTTCCCTGTTCGTTCAGTCTCTGGGGCTTTTTGTAATGAAGTTGCCAAAAAAAGATCCCAGATGATTTAGCTTTTTGGAATGCTAGCATTCATTTTAAATACAGCTTTTAAAAGGGTGGAGGACAGAGGTTTGATGCAGAACCATGAAAAACCATTATATTATCTTTTGCTTTTTACTAACTCGGGTTGGATTTACACTAGCGAAAGGGTTGATTATTATTTTCTGTAGTTATTTTTAAATGAAATTGTTCTGTAGGTAGATTAAATGGGACTGAGTTTAAAAACATAGTAAAGAAAATAATAAATTTAACCCTCCCCACATAATATGAATTAGTGCTTCAAATTAATCTGAACAGATCATGTTTTTTTTTTTCTATCAGCTGCACTGTTTTAATTTAGAAGCTGTTAATCATACATTTTTGTAATTGACAAATTAAAGCAAACACAGTTTTGATAGTTTTACCATTGAATTTGGTTCATAGAAATAGAATTTATAAATAGGCCTACCCACACACGCTACACAAACTCTTATATAAAAGGCTGTTTACGTGTTGCTGCTCTGCAGCCTTTTTGCTTTAAAAAGGACTAACTCGTGTAATTGTGTTTGCAGTATTTTTAATGAGCGAAATATTGTGAAAAGATCTGTATTTCTTTTTCCTGTGTAGTATAGTTCAGCCTATCTGTGGGGTAATTTGTTATGAAATTTTTTTCTTTTAGAGATGTAAGTTTTCTAGACTAGTTTGGCTTTGTTACTGATGTTTAGATTCTTTTTCCCCCCCATGTTCTCCAGTATTTTCCTTTATTTCATCATTGTTCTGAAACAAAGGGGGTTAATTTGTAAACCAATATAATGCTGTTCTTTTGACTGACCAGTAAAATCTTCTATGTTTTGAGAAATTGAAATGATTTTTTCAGTGCAAACTGGAGAATTGTCTGTGGTGTTTTATTATTGTTGCTAACTTCTATTTAAACTATTTAGTCCGAGTGGTTTTTTTTTTTTCACTTGGTTTTTTTTTGTTTTTAAAGGTTTTATGACCTACTTAGTGGAGCCACTGTTTGGGGAGTGGGCCCGGTTCTCAAACACCAGGCTGTCGCAGACAATGCTTGGGCATCTGGGACTGAATAAGGCTAGTTGGAAGGGAGTGCAGCGAGAACAGTGCATCAGCGGTGACGATGCTGATCCTACTTTTGAGGAAATGGACTCAGACATATTACCTCAGGAACCTCGATTGTCCTGACCTCAACCTTCATGACAAAACTGCCTCTTTTCTTGGTATCTGCACAGTTGGATTACAGGAGATACTTGCCTGCCCAAGGTTTCAGTAAAATGGTAAAATGATGCCAGCATTATTTATTTCCAAGTTTTCCTTCGACAGACCGTTTGAACCTGAAATTATTTTTAACTGCAAGATCTGAACATAGAGCAATATGCATATGCCTCAGTCGGTTTTTGTTTGGAACCTTGAATATGCAAAGCACAGCAGTGACTGAGCCTTGAAGGAACAGTACGAAAATTTCATTGCACCATGTTTGTGTTTTTTGGGTTTTCTTTTTGTTTGTGAAATCTGAAATATGGTCTTCAAATCTAAGACTCGAGATGGATTGTTCCGCTTTCTTGGAACTGAGCAAGACTTGCATAAATGTGTTAAAACTATACCTTCCACTCAGTCCCTGTTTTAATACGGAAATGTGAAGTGCCCATCCTCTGCTGCCTCTGGCAAGACTTGATGTTTACAAATGTACTCTGAAACTATTGGTTCTAGACTTCACCTTTGCGCATGGCTGTGAAGGAACCACTAACCTGGATTTTTTTGTTTTGTTTTGTTTTTTTGAAAGATCAAATCTGAGACTGCAGCTCTTGTTTCTTTGGATGCCAGAAAAGCCTCCCATTTGCCATAATTTTGTTTGTGCACTGGGAACTGAGCATTCATCATAGAGCACAGCCAAGCTTTACTCCAGTGCTATATGGGAATGCAATTTTTTAAAAGCAGAAAACACTTCTGAATTTGGGAAGGGAAGGGGTGGGGGGGAAGTGTCTGAACTGCGTTGCGATTCTGCAGTGAGAACATTGCATGTTGTTTTCACTATTGTACACTTGAACTGCACATGCAAGAAAAAGGTGGAATGTCTAAACACCATATTCAGCTCAGGGTATTTGCCAATCTGAAATAAAGTGGGATGGGAAGCGTGTCCTTCAGAACAAGGGTACAAATGCCCCTTTCGCTGCAGTGTGTATGTATGTGTGGGTGTGTGAGTATGTCGGGGTTGGGGAGGGTGGGAGGGTACTGGGAAGGGTTTGAACAGCAACATTTTTTTTATTTATTCTTTTAGAATGTGACAATTTCATGAACAGCCACATTGGGGAGGAAACTGTAACAAATTGCTACAGATGCCTTAAACTATGCACAAAAGCTAAGTGACCAAATTTGTTTTTGATCTGAAAAATAAAAAAGTGCATTGTTTACTTGTTCCTCCCTCTACTGAAACATTACCCATTAATGGGTTTTTGATGGGAAAAGGAGAAATGTTTTTTAGGACAAATTTAAAGGACTAATTTTAAACTTAAAACATTCCATTTTTGTAATTTCTTTTACGTTGTTTTACGTACAGTAAGCACAACTGTAATCTAGTTTGAGAAACTGGTGCTTTCTTTTAGTTCATTTGTATTTCCCTGTTATTATTGTAAATGACTGTTTATTAATTCTGTTTACAGTTTGTTGCAACAGCCATTTTTGGGAGAGAGCTTCAGTGTAAAGCCATTTGTAAAGGCTTTGCCGTATTCATTTTAATATGTGCCTGTTGCTGTTAACTTTTAATTAATAAAAACATCTTTTCACATTATGCTCCTGTACATTTAAGTTACAACTGAGTCTAGCATTATGGAAAGGTAGTTAAGGTTGCACTCAGCTTCCACTGTAAAACTAAGCCCATTTTTGGATTTGAATAACTTACCACCTCTTCAAGCTCGGCCTTTTACTGTTCTAAAAATAAATTCTGACTTACCTGTTTGTCTAAAATTCTAAAATAAATTGTTTGTTCTTTCATGTTCCCTGAAGTAATATCATTACTCAAAGTGGCCATGTTTAAAGAAATAAATTTACAATTAAAACATTTATTGAACTTGTGTGAACTTCCTTCCTTTGCTGTCAGTGCAAGTTCTTGCTATTGTCTGACTTCAGTAGAGAAGGATCAGGTGTTATACGAGCTTGAGTTACAGCTGGAAGTAACGGAAGGCCCTTATTTTAACAGGTTGCTTTCAACAGGGTGGTGTTTGCCAATGTTCTTTGGAACTTGCAGACCCAAAAGGTAACTGCTATGCATTTGAGTAACTTACTATGGAGAGACTGCAGCTAAGCTCCCTTCCAAGCTATGCACTACAGATTAGTAGGGTTAAGCATGGAAAAGTATCGATGTGTCTGACGTTTTTGAATAAAACATAGTTGCAGTCTTGCTATATATTTTTTAAAAGCAACTGTTAAAATCAGTACTTGATGTGGTCTTCTGCAATTCACGTTCCTTGAAATGTGACTTAAAGGCAAGACCCCAACATAAATATAAATTTTGCTATTCACTGTAGGCCATTTATAAGCATATTTTAATACATTTTCATTATTTAAACAATTAATTTACAAATACATTATAGCAGTATTGCAATATATTTATAAGCAACCTGTGATTCTCTAACATTATGTAGTAATCTTGCTAACAGTTAGCAAGACTGGCCTATCCCGATAGGAACCAGTGCAGCTTGTCAAGAGGCTGAAAGAAAACATGAATAATTTTGTTCTACACCAACTTTCCTAGGAAGAGGCTTCTGTCTTTTCCTACAGCATCACGCTATCAGATTTAGAAAGACTGGTTCTAATCCCATCATTAGAGTACCTGGAAGGCTCTGACACTTGACTTACTT